CCCCCGAGCCTGTTCTCTTACTGGCGCGCACACCCGTAGAGCGGGTCTCTACACGTAAACCTAACCTAGGCAACTCCACGTACCTGCTCTACTCCCTTCTTCTCGCTGCATCTCGCTCACTCCCGATGCACCCAAGTACACACGAGAATGACAGCAAGACCCGATTCCGCGTGCTTGTCTGATTTTATGATTACGGCCACGCGAAAATGTAAAAGAGCTCTCGGCCACGGATAATGCCCGACTTCCGTTCTTCGTTTGCCAAACACGAGGATAGATATTCATGGTTGATAGAAGTTCACGTAAATCCCGTAAGCTCAGAAGTGGCGCAGACGGTCGACCGTGTAAACTTTTTGACGTTGCGAATCGAGGATGGTGATAAGCGTAATTTGTAATTTCCAATGGTAAAATACGTTATTTATAAAGTATCAGAACGAAGCGAGGTTACTACGGTGTTACGCGTCTGTCTACTTATATACGAAATGGAGAAACCACTAGCTAGTTTCGCACGTGTAAACCAACTTCTCCGCTTCTCAATGGGAAAGACAAGGACTAACCGGCCGAGACCCGGACCACCACTGTTCTCCCTTGCATTCCGTATGGATAGTGAGGACACAGCGGGTAGGCGGGCTCACAAGTTTGCAACTGTATAGGAACGAACGACGGGACGCTGACATAACAGAATCCCGGAAACTATGCTTGTCACCCAATGAGATTCGCGAGCGAGGGCGCTGTTTCGGTGCAAAGTTGTTTAGACAAGACTACCAGTGGCACCACCGAGGGGATTTATACGCGCCGTTATAATTTGAGAGACGTTAAGAAGCTCCTGGGGAACTGTCCCGTACTTGGGTGGCAGACATCTTTCTACAGTCCTTTATTCCTTCAACCCTTACTCCTTTCGTTCTCTCATTCAATCTTTCTTTCTCGTTAACCCGCTCGTCGTCATCCTCTCTCCCTCCCTCTTTCTCTCTCTCTCTCTCTCTCTCTCTCTCTCTCTCTCTCTCTCTCTCTCTCTCTCTCTCTATCTTACTACTCTCGACACCTTCCACAGGCATCAGACAATTCTTTCTCCTCGTCCAGACGCAACTCAAGCTACACCCACCTGCCGGTTGGCAGGGACGTTTGTCACGGCTCGTTTCTACGGTGGCAAAAGATGGAACCTCTTTTCCTTTGCCTCCTTGCATATTTGCTTGGCTCTCAACTAGGCGAGGATTAAAGCAGCTCGGTGCGACGCTCCGCGATAACGGAAATAGGAATGACGAGCAGCGTCGTCTCTGGGTTTTCTGTTATTGCTTCAGCCGGTTAACGGAAGCAGAGAGGAGAATCTCGGTCCTGTTCCCGGGTAACGGAGAGAGGTTTATTAAGCACGAAGACAGATCGAATGATAATAAGGGGGTAGAGGAGAGGCATGGAGCTAGGGGAATGGGAAATCTTTCACAGAGAATTCTGCACTAGCGAGCAGAGTCGGTATTTGTTTCCCCATGAAAATTCACGATCGATAAGCTTTTACCGTAAATTTGTTTTAAGGGGTGACTTTTGGGTTTCGAGAAATTTTCATGACGCCAGAAAGGAAGAAAAAATTTCCAGGACTAACGGACGACAGTCTTTCATCGTCTTTTAAATGTTTAATAAAATTTACATGCTGAACGAGGAGATTTTTGATATTCGACAGTCACGAACAGGTAACGCGATACGCGATCCTTTGGGTCTGCTAGATTTACACTGTACGACGTTCACGGAAGCCAAGGTTTAAAGCCGTTCGTAAACATCGGGGATGATTAACCCTTTGCTAGGCGAGATGCAATTACCTGCCAACTTATTTGCTTCTGCCGAGATAACGTGATCACTAATTCAAAGTTCTATGAGAAACTTCGACCGGAGTCTGACGCACCTACGAACGCGTAGGGTATATAGGACTGGTATATACAAGACAACCATCTCCGTGTATTAAGACGCACGTGAATGGGACATAACGATATCTGACGCAGTACAACCTTCGCGTTTACAATATGACAACTGGAATAGATAATCAATTAGCGAACTCTTCAATTAATCCACCGTCCTACGACAGAGCCTCGATTGTTGGATTTAAGTCGAAGAACTAGATAAGAGAGTGTAATCGAAAAAGAAATTATCTTAGCATTCCAGTTAGTCCTTACCGAGCGAAGAAGCTATACGCTCTCGTTAACGAGTGAGACGACGAGCGAAGTACCAGTTCCCGTAAATCCATTGAGAGAGAAAGAGTCCAGAATACATCCTATTGTCTCCTACAGCGAGAAGCCACTCCGAAGAGAGCTTCCTTCTGAATCCGCACGTTGTTTCAGGTCGACCAGGGACCGACTACCCGGTTCTGGGCAAAGTGCCCTACACGAATTTCTACTGCGACGATCAGCCTTATCCTGGCTTCTTCGCCGACGTGGAGACTCGATGCCAGGCCTGGCACTACTGCGACATAGACGGCCGCCAGGCGACGTTTCTGTGCCCAAACGGGACGCAATTCAGCCAGGCGGTCTTCGTCTGCGACTGGTGGTTCAACGTAAGGTGCGAGCTGAGCCCCAAGCTCTACGCAATCAACAGTAGACTCTACCAGAGACCCACGGAGAGTCCCACAAGACCTCACCGAGTCATCACCAAGGAGCTTCTGGAGAATATATTCGTCAAACGAAAATGAGGGAACGATTTCGTGGCTCTACCAATATCTATCGTCTGCTGCCACGGCCAACGATAACACCTCAACGCGTTTCGTGCCGGAGCGATTTTTTGTTACCTTCCGATCAGGCAGCGTGTACGACCCACGTGGCACGGACGTCTTAAAGCATGTTCACCCTCTGTCGGGCAGAGAGAAAGAGCGTCACGGAACATCGAGATTCAGCTTGGATAAGGAAAACGTACAAAACGCCCGAGGCCAAACTCACTGAGAACAAGAAATTAAAACGGATAGCTCGCACTCGGCTGTCTATTAAAACTTCCGCCTTCCGGCTTACCTCAGCGCCAAGCATGTTTCCCTACTTGTTTCAGCCATCATCGTCACTTGTGTTTTCTATGGGTCTGTCGGCCAGTGCGAAGTAGCAATTAGCAACGAATCGGACAGTGCGAGGCGTCCTTTTACATACTAAGAGACACGGGAGACTACAATTTAGCGATTTATGCGAACGCGCATTTGTAAAGGCAGACTCGCATATCCGAGTGATAACTTTAGCTTAATTGTTCGCGTACAAGTGTCCACGGGTCAGGAGTATCTTCGCGACCTAAAGGCTATTGAACCCGGCGTGCCCGAGGTTGGCTATGACGGACCCAAAGTGTCATGCTCCGTGGGAAATTCTTTACACCTCGCGCAGCCCGGGTTTTCAAGGTAGTCGACGATTCCGTCGGCACTCGTAAAAAAAAAAAAAGTCTGGGCGATACTGTGGCCACTGTGGAAACGCCATCAAAGCCACGGAGATATAAGCGATTCGTTGTACCATTAATCTTTTCTTTAATCGAGGACGATATCAGTTTATTCAGTTTATGAAGATATTACCATTTTTTGGTATGCACCTCAAGACTCGCGTATATGAAATATTATGGATTTTCTAAAAAATTCAATAACGCACTTCTAATCGAAGTGTCAGACTTATACTCAGTCGCAGAGATTCGTTTGATATTGATAATTTGTCCAATGTTTGTATTTTCATGTGTCGGCCATGCGTTAGGCTTAGTTGTTGTTGTTATGGGATACTTCATTATATTAATTGCAGTTGCTAAGCATACTTAGTCGTAAGTAATACAGATTTTTCTTTCTTTAAATCTGTACGGTCGAATCGTTACAGTAATCGATATCGTCGTCTTACCAAATATCTCCGATACAAGCAATCCGAACCATTATCTAGCTTATATCGTAAGAGTATTCTACAATGTAAGAACACTAAAATCAAACGATACCAAACCGATTGCAGTGAAGTTAACGAAGGCAAAAAAGCATAGATGCATCTTTACGATCCTTTAAGAACCACCAGTAGTGAAGCACATAGCGTTTTAGTAAGATATGTATTAATGATCGATCGTTGCCACTGGCCTAAGGAGCCGTAAGTTCTTTTAGTTGAAAAAAAGGAATTTTTAAAAAATCACCCAAAAGATCAATCTTGGGTGAAAGAGTTGTATTAAAAAAATATATATATCAAATAAAATGAACGCAGCCTAAATCAATCATCCTCTTTCAGCACGTCCTGACGTAACTCTATCAGGAGGAACACGTGGTTGCAACCTGTCAGCCAGTTTTGCCCTGTGGAATGGAAGACTATCCGAAAATGTTGAGAAATTCTGAAAGCAGTAATCAGATAAGAGAATTTAACATTTGGGTATCGAGTTTTATTTTTCGAGATGCAGTCCGTTTGCGGAGAACAATAGTTACGTGGAAGAATTCTCGAGATATGTATGATATCTGGTAAGATGAAATTCTGAGCCCAGGGCGCTGTCAAGGAAGATGCTAAAGCTCGTTCGGTAAGTGCACAGTTAATCGGGAGATTCAAAGTCCAATGTAGATGATCCGTAAGTGGTCCATATATGTATATGTATACGCTTCGGTGGAAATTTCAGTGTCGCCACTGTAAAGTTCTGGCTTTAAAGTGAGCGACGGGCAAAGTCAGTCGGAGGAAAGACGAGGATGCTGTTTTATCGGTGTCTACACGAGCTTCGAAAGTAATCCTCTTAGTTGGCCGTAAGGCCGGCAGACAGCGACTGTGAATCGACTTCGGTGAAGCAGTCGAGTTCTCCGTTACCGATGATTCTCATCCGTGCAATATTTATTTCGCCTAACGGACGGACAAGAACGTATTTGTAAAATTAATTTTTCCTTCTCGAACGCAAGCGGCCCCTGCAGAGCGTCTAGAATCAGCATCCTCAGAGAGTTCATCCAATCTGGGTTCTTTGTAGAAGACATCACTGTACCCCTTTGCCACTTCGAATTGGCCGAACGGAGAAGCGAATATTTCAGCGAGAATCCGACGCGCGAATAATTCTGATTATTTTTCAGGATACCGGATGCCGTTGGGTGTGCAAGTTGCAAAAAGTTCATCCACGTAGCCAGAATGCAGCCAAACAGCGTTTAATCAATGAGGCTTCAAGCGCAGGCCGCGCGGGATCTTGCCTGATGGACAGTAGCCAGGGGCTTGGAAAACTAGTGAACAATTTGAAGCTACCCTTTCAAGTTTTGGGCTTTGTTTATGCGGATGAAAATAATTCGCAACCCAGCGAATATAAAAATAATCGAAAGCCGGACGCCCAGCCTAGGAGCAATGCACATAGCAAGGATCTATTCTTCGTGATCGAATGAACATCGAACCCTTTTGCGGCAATTATACAAACCGTGTAGTCGGACGAGTGACCCTTTTTTCAAAATTGTTATTCAATACTTTATCAATCGGACCGTAGCGTTACAGGAAATAGTCAGGCAAGTCGTCCCAGAAGGTCACGGACATCGACAAAGGCCTGTGAAAGTAGACACTTATGGAGGTTATACGTATATGCAACTTCGTGTCCAGCGACGAGTATTGAGGTTTTTGTTTTACGGAAGGAAGGTAGAAACCGGCCTAAAGGAGGTTCTGTCTCGAGTAAGCGCAACGGGCCTAACGATAAGGCGGCCATTTGTTGCGTTGACTGTCCAGTCCGACAGGCTTTCTCTTTTAGCCGACGGGTCTATTCGACCGCGTCTAACTTGATCCATCGTTAGTGACCTTCTCCTTGTCATTGGCAAGGTCGACTTCAGACTTGACCAAGACGCAAAACCCGAATGCGTCACAGCCACGAACTATACGTAACATATTTATATACAAAAAAAAAAAAGATCACCTCAGCTATGCTCGGGTACCTTAGAAAAGCTGATGGCAAATTACAATAGACTGAGAAACCCAAATAGAATTTAGAAAACGCAGTAAGGTAAATAGGAGACACGAATGCCTGGCCAAGTTACCATTTACGTTCGCAGCATCGAGCTCTCCCTTCCATATAGAAACCAGCCCGGTATTATTTTTAAAATATTTCGCAATTAATTTTTTTTTCCATTCGAACCCACGACCGTGGAACAAGGACAATTTTTCATTTATCACCTTATTTTATTCTCGGTTTACGTAATCCATGTTATATGGACGACCAATGGATTCTGCAAATGCTACGTCATCAGTGTCCTTAATGGCTAGGCGTGGGCAGTGAACGAGTGCATGAAATGTAAAAAGTCGGTTGAGGTTTTCGTACGATCCGACGTATTGGGTAAATTGCAAAATTAGAGAGGAAGATGTCACCTCGGAATTTGCATAAATGAAGGAGAGGAAAGTCATTTGATATGAAATATATTCCGACACGTGAAAGCTCAAGAAGTTTGTTGCTCCTTCGTTAAGGATGGGCAAGCAGGAACACGAAGACTTGAAAAAAAAAAAAAAAAATGATAACCTTGTAAAACCAGTTGCGTCCTCCGGTAGAGTTTATTAAGTGTCATTTGAAAAACCTTACGACACTCCGCCAGCCATCGGAGCGCGTATGCACGTAAACACCCGAACGAGATTTCCCTGGCATCTTCCCAATGCGGAGCTCAGCGTACAATTATTGACTAAATATCATAATGGAGCAAAGCGTGCATTTGATACGCAAAGCTAGAGAAATCGGCAGTGCTCATCCGATCGAAAATTTCATACGTAGACTGCATACGAGCCATACGAGCCATACGAGCAGGCATTGCGAATATCATCGGCGTCTGTAGCTCCAGGCTGCGTAACGTCATGGGCTATCGAAATACAGTCCGACTATAGGCAGACGTGCGTGAAACGTTTGCGCAAAATTGAGCGAGCGATAAGCACCTATACGTTAGCGACCAAAGTGCTAAAAATTCGTCTGAGTAAGAAAAATAAAAAAAAAGAAAGCCACATAAAATTTGGCTAAGTATCCGTACGATTGAGTCATCTAACACGTACAACTCTGTTGGAAGGCTATCGACGAAATATCAAATATCACTTACATAACCTGATTCGAAAAAGTCCATTAGACACACGGTTCCTCAAAGTTCGTCTCCAGATATAAATAAATTCGTGTGACGCTTCGGAAAAAAGAAATGAATAAAAAAATAAATGTGCTACTGCGAAACCAAACGTATCCCAGGCATATGCACCGTACCGTGAGAAACGATTAAAAGTGCATAGGCATAGCCAAAGCACGTGGATATTATATCACGCAGCTACGGCGGAAGGAAGCCTTGTCCTTTACCAAGAGACAGCGTTAACCAGTCGTTCGTAAAGCTTCGAGCGAGACAACAATATCAGGAGAGAATCCTGGGACGAGATAGTATTCGATTGGTTCATAGGTGAACAAACGTGTTAGTCGTGGTGGAATGGGAATTGCAGAAACGCGGGTTCGACTCAACGTGCACGAAACGTTTCAATGCGATTAAGCCACTGGAGCAGGAGTAGACCGCTAGGTGCTGCTAACAAAAGTGTGTACGTTACTGGTGGAAGTAGTGGTAGGTATAGGAGGAGCCCGCGAGTACAGTAGCAAGGGAGACGTACCGGTTATAAGTACAGGAGTAGCGGAGGTGCCGTGGAGGGGGAACTGACAGAGATAGGTGCACGCGAATATAGCCGCAGATGCGCAAATATTGTTTCATTACATTGCGCATGTAGCTACCAGGAAAGGATTGTTTTATCGCTGCACTTTCGCTCCGATGAATTCGTCTGTAACGAGCCCAATCGTGCAGTTCGTTGTTAATGCGCCTATTGGAGGAACGCGACTCTACGACCTGGCGCAGCCGGCGGTTGGGTTACGACTTCGTTTCAGAGGACGTAGGAGTGTTATTCGTTCCCAGGTAGAGATCGAATCATTCTTTGTACTGTAGTAGTACAACGCAGTACTGTAATATCGGGCAGGGTTACCAATTAACGACTTCTACGAGTTATCAGCAAGACGCGCGAGTCTCGATAACCTGAGAAAGGCTTACCAAGGTTTACTTAGCGACTCGAATATTTTAACTACGCGTTTCAGCCTACACGTCGCTGATTTTCATGCTGCATGTTCGGGCGATCTTGATGCGTGCGATGGTTACTGGTTGTGTGACGGAAACCAATAATTTATGGGGGATGCTTTTTGAAACACCCTCTTTTTATACCTTCTCGTAACGCTATGATCTACCGTCAGAGATATATTTGCTACAGTCGATTTACGATAACGGCTGGGAGTTCAAGGGACTGCTTAACGTTACGTGCCGTAAGGTCGTGGCACCTGAAAATATATTAAATTCGTTCCTCATGTTTTTAGTTCACGTCAACCGACTTCGATAACGCTACGCGTAATATTTTACTCTATAAAACTGTTTGCTAAAATCTCCTGGCACCTGAGTAAAGCCATGGCACGGGGTCCAGCGGCACGTACGGGATTCGCAATGGCTCCATAGAAGTATTGCAAATCCTTTGCCGATTCCCAGTAAACATGTAGCACTGCCATCAGGCACGTACACCTAGCCACACGTGTATTATGTCAAATGTGGCTTTAGAAAAATTGAAAAGTATCGATGAACAATTTCGTCGTTTCAATTGGGGGAATATGAAATAAAATAATGACCTGATGTCGTATTAATTTTATCATACACTCTGAACAAAAATTATATCGTCTGAGAAATTATTCCGAATCGAGTATATCAACTAGGCAAGTATCTGTGGACTGGGGACTATGTCTATATACTTATAAGCATTTGTTAAATGAGATACTTGTATACTCGTCAGACTTAGTCAGTATCGTCCCGAAAGAGATAGGAAGCGGGGGAGAGGGGGTGCAGGTACAGGGAGTATTCAGATAAAGTGATAGTGCGAGCCCAATCAACTAAGCGATGGAAAATGGGCAAATTTGCATAAGGAACGTAACCTGTGACTAAACGGTCTCATTCTAATCCTATAAGGTACTTGCTCACTCTGCATCGGAATAAATTCTCAATATATTCTTCGCTATAATCATCAGTTGAGAACTTTCGGAAGAATATGCGAAATTGCTTATCGAGGAAACGCAGAAACATGAAACTTCGAACGGACCCGAAAGGACTATCGACGTGGCTGTCGGAGCGTCAAGAACGTGACGAAACTACAGCCAGCATCGCTCAGGACCAAGACGCTGGAAAAACTTTGAGTCTTGGTGCACTTTGTGTTCCCTAGGAAGTTCCG